TTCCCTAAATATAAATAAATATGCTGTGTTGTGCATTGATAAACAGCGAATGTGTTTCTTTTACGGCCCTCAGCTGTAGAAACTGGTGTATCCTTGTGGCTCAAGAGATTGCTGCTTGTATACTAAGAGCTGGTTGAAATGGCAGTGGATCCTGATGCTGACTTCCTACCAGTCCAAGGAACCAATGAGCTAGGAGAGCAAGAGAGCAAAATGAATGCTGTAGTATTTTCCCAAAGGTCCTAGGAAAAGCAAATCCAGAGTCTTAATTATAGCCAATTAAGCTAAGAAAATGCTTCCCCAGAGTTGTTAGTGGCTGTAATAGGTAATTGTAAATATAATTTAAACCAGTGTTGTTTTTTACTTTTTTCTAGATTAAAATCTCTTGGAGCAAAGATAAGGTCAAGCCATCTGAGAAAGTCTCCCTTAAAATCAGTACAACAGAACCAGGATCAGTAATTGGACTTGCAGTTGTTGATAAAAGTACAAAGCTTCTAGGAGAAAGTAGTGACATAACAGAAGATTCTGTAAGTAAATGGGAAAAAAGGTTTTCATTCTTGTGTGTATGAGAGGTGTATGTTTATGGAAATGTTACAGTTTATATGCTGAATGAATAATGTTCTTTGGACAGGATTTTTAGTCCTTATGCAAATATTTTTTACTTCTGCAAGTAGTTTATCAACAGGAGGGGAAAAGACTGTAAGGCTTACAAGGTAATATCCCCAGTATTTCTAATTCCAATTAATACTTTACTGTTCTTCCATTAGATAAACTGCTCAGTTAACACTTGGCAATTGCTTCTTTCGGGAAAGACAAAAAAGTCAGAAAAACTCCCTAATGATTTGTGCTTCGTGCTCTTTAAAATCACTAATATAAAACAAAGAAAGAATTTTCTTTTTTGAAGAGCAGAATAAATTATTCACCTTTTTGAATTCCCTTTACTTGCAGAAGCTCTAGTGCATCAACAATTTGAAAGCGCTGACAATATACATAATTCCTAAATTATATCAAATAACATAGGCTAAGTGCCATAGAATATCAGTGGGCTGTAGGCTCCTATTTTAGGCTTATATAGTCTTGGACACTCTTCCATTAATCATGAAACCATTGCAGCCTAATCCCCTTCATCCTGTCACGGATTCTTTTCTCTTTGATGAGAGCTAAGCGAGCTGTTGCTTGAGGTACAGCTGTATGAATTAGCATCTACAACAGTGAAAGTTCTGAAAAATGTGAGTTTACATTCACTCTTTGGGTGCTTTTGTTTTTCTTGTCTTAGGTCTTCCATGAGCTCAATTTATACAGCACAGTGCAGTATTTCCCCCTGGTCAGAGGTTCTTTTGGTGTCTTTCAGGTACTTTTTTTTTTTTTTTTTCAATTCTGAGCTGGGTTTTTTTACTGCTTAGTGATTTGCAGATCACTTGCTAGAAGAAAATGCCCTTTTTAAAGTTTGGGACTGTAGACAATGTACTGTTTTCATGGCTTATATGGGTTTTGAATTGTGAAATTTATCAATACATAAATACTCTGAATGCAAATAAATATGCTTGTACTTTCATAAATATGTATTGCTTTACGCTTGATATTGTCTTCCCTTTGAAAAGTTTTCAGTCATTAAGGCAATATTCAGATTGAGATTATCTCAGTTTTGTTGGTTTCTGTATATTACTTGCTTTACTTCTATGATTGCTTTATTATGATGACTTTATTTTCTTAAAAAGAAAGAAAAGAAAAAGAAAATATATAAGCACTGTTGATGTCCTGAATGTCCTGTATTGAGATATACTGTATAAATTTTATCCAGAAATGCAGCCTTTGGGTATCAACTGATGCAATTCTTGAGGAGGATAAGGAACATTTTCTTTGTAAGTAATAAAAATAAATGTAGCCAAATCTTATTTACTGAATGAGGAAAGAGGTCCATAGGTTAGGGCCCCTATTAGGTCTTCTTGCTGTACTGCATACAGGCTGCATCCAGCCTTGCAAACCATTAGCATTTCCAATGTTCAAGACATACAAAATGCATATAACTAGTACTTTAAAAACTTCCTTTTTGCTGCTGTCCTGAGTGACACTACCCCTTAAAGGCCTGAGGGTGAATGGAGTTTTAATTTGCAGTTCCAGTTGATACATGTTGCAGTGGTTTGTCATGTGTAGCCATATTACACCAGTTCCATAAGCAGTTCAGAAAGGCCATCTAGAAATTTAAATTTGTATGAAACTTCTTTTTCCTTAGGAAAAACAAGCAAGAAAAAAAATAGTTCCTAATGTCACGGAGTAGTGTTACCATATGTAACAAAGCTATAGATTATACTTCAAACACTGTATTAATTTGACTTTTCTTAACTGTATTAATTTGATTTTTCTTAAACCTAGATATTTGTAGGTAGGACAATATTTTTTATTTTGTAGATGGTGGAATGATACCCATAGAGGATGGTTTCGGTGATGATATGTCGCTATCTAAAAATGGACCTCCTGATTTCAGCAATCTCTATGTGAGGACACATTTTCCAGAAACTTGGCTTTGGATCGACACTAAAACTAGGTATGAGATTAGAAGCAAATGGAAACTGATTTACACTTTGCGTTGTTACTTTGTAGGTTTTAGTAGCATTCTGCACTGGTGCTGAAGAACACTGCTTAAAAATGTAGTATTACTTATATTCTACTACCACCTAGAGGCCACAAGTGAGATCGGAGACCCACCAAATGAGGCGTTGTACAACTGCGCAAAATAGGACAATGCCTGACTGAAGGCCTTGTAGTTTCAATAGAAACCATAAAAATCCTGGAGACAAAAGAAACTCCCTTCCTTTTACAGACGGTGAGATAATAACAGACAGGGAGACCCAGTATTTTTCTTTACAGTACATGAGAAGATGGTGATTAGCCCAGAAAGGGAAATCTGTTCCTGTCTGCACCTAATTCAATGAACAGTTCAAACTGTCAAATGATGGTGAAATCTGACCTGTGTTGTGAAGCACAAATCTTGTATTCTTCCACAGCTGAGAAGTTCGGGAAGCAACTGTCATCTGGGATTGTTTTAAAGGATCGGTAAAAGTTGATTACATGTAATGTGATTCAATGTAATTACCTTCAATTCATGCAATTTAAAATAATTTAAATTTTTTCAATCATTTTGATCTCATCACAAGTATTTCTGAACGATTAGGAAAAGAAAAACAGATAATCAGCAGCTTTTCCTGCCAAGAGTTTGGACTTAATTTTTGATGCATTTTAAACATTCGTTTTCACTTACTGGTGTCTGTAAATGGATACTTTTGAAAGTCTCCTCTCCCCTTCTGCCATCAGATCTGACACAGACACCACAATGGAAGTCATTGTACCTGATACCATCACATCCTGGGTAGCCAGTGCTTTTGTGATGTCTGAAAACAGTGGGCTTGGAGTCACGACTGCTCCAGTGGAGGTACCATGGCACTAGACAGTTCTCCTTTAAATGCTGGTAACACTGTAGGTTATTACTGGAAGCTGTATTTTATTTCTAACAGTAGCTGTCTCCTTATGCTAATAAAGTGATTGAGAGGCCACGTGTATTCAAACTGTAAAGAAAAGATCATCACTGGAGACAGATGTGATACGGTATCTGCCTTCCCTTCCTGCTCATATAAATATCTCAGACATTACACAGATACTTGGCTGCCTATTTCTTTTGGAGCAGTTGTTCTGTTAGAGCACTTTCAGGATGTGCCCACTTCAGAATTTTCATATGTCGAAAGGGGGAATGACTGCCTAAGGACAGCGTGTTTCGATGTTTTCTTGGCTGTGCCAAGAGGGCTTTCCATGAGTCGATAGTGCATGCAGGGAGGTTTGCACAGGCTAGCTGGGAAGAGGTGGCTGGGATGGGAGAGGCGTGTTGTCTGCGGGAAAGATCATGCCACTGCGCTGCTCCTTACTAACACTTACCCCAGGAGGGAGGATGGGAGAATTGCTTAAAGACTAAATTCTGGCCTCGCTTTCATTTATCTGTCAAAACCAGTCTTGGACTAAACATAGGTGCTACTTTTTGGGTGACTTAGCTTGAGGAGCAGACTGGACACTGAGAGCCAGCAGTGGGATGAGGTGCTTCTTGCTGCCAAGTTCCTGTCTCCTGAGGCTCTTTTTGTGCTTCCAAGTGTTCAAAGAGTTAAACAACTTAAGCTAAATTCAGCACTCCTCAGGTTAGATCTCTAAGCTGAGATTCGCAATGTACAAGTGCAGTTGTCCTAGGCTCACTCTGTATTCATGGAAATAGCTACTTAGAGTTATTTAGCCTGTTTAAAATAGGAATTGCTTTTTGAAGTCTCATTTAGCTAGTATTTTGTATATGTTGAATAATCCTCTGAAGGTAGTTATCTCCTTCCATTCATTATGTAAAGATCCTAGAGAAACTATGTTCCTAATTGAGACAACTCCACTTAAGTGCCTAAGGTGAGAAAGGTTGAAACTGTGCAGTACTGGGCCATAGATTTCCAGCTCGATGCCAGCACTAGTGCAAGCATAGCTTGGAGACAGCCATTTATCTCTTTAGGTTCTCATGCCCTCAAATTCTTGGGGAGGGGCAACTTTTGGCATCCAAACCGAGATCCACATCCAGATTTCATAGCTGGCTGCTGCACGAGACACAGAACATGGGCTTTGAACATCCTGATCATAACTCCACCACAGAATTTGGAGCCCAATCTGGATTTTGTGGCTAAGGTTCCTTTGAGACTGGAATCATGATTCTCATTTCTTTCACTCGGCTTGGCAGAGATGGGACAGAAAGAGGAATAGTTTCCTGGTTCAGACTGTATGAAAATATATACTTGGCCTCTCATCCTCAAATTTGAGAAGGCTGCAAGTAGAACAGATGTTGAGATTATTATTTAACTATAATCACCCACATGCACTGTTCAGTACTTCACCCTTGTTGGGATGTTTATATTGCGCTTAGAGTTCCATATGGCTTAAACATGTTAATCAGTACCATACAGAGAGGCAAATAAAAGAAATGCCTGAAAACTGTAATGGGGAAATAAATAAGTGACATCTGCATGCTTAATGTCATTTAATGCTTTGTATCTTGTTTTTATTTGACTTCTACTACACAGTGTCGATAATTTTACCCTATTGTATTTTATTGTAATATACCAGAATATTCAGCATAAGAAAGACATGGACCTGTTGGAGCGGGTCCAGAAGAGGGCCACGAAAATGATCAGGGGGCTGGAACACCTCTCCTTTGAAGAAAGGCTGAGAGAGTTGGGGTTGTTCAGCCTGGAGAAGAGGCGGCTTTGGGGAGACCTTATTGCAGCCTATCAGTACTTAAAGGGGGCTTCTAAAAAAGATGGCAGCAGACTTTTTATCAGGGCCTGTTGAGACAGGACAAGGGGGAATGGCTTTAAACTAAAGGGGGGTAGATTGAGACTAGATCTAAGGAAGAAATTTTTTACGCTGAGGGTGGTGAAGCCCTGTCACAGGTTGCCCAGAGAGGTGGTGGATGCCCCATCCCTGGAAACCTTCAAGGTCAGGTTGGACGGGGCTCTAAGCAACCTCATTGAAGATGTCCCTGCCCACGGCAGGGGGGTTGGACTAGATGACCTTTAGAGGTCCCTTCCAACCCAAACTATTCTATGATTCTATGACTCCTGAGTGTAAAACTTCAGTATTACAAGAGTTTTACAGACAAGCAAAACAAAAAAGACAAAGAAAATAGGTACATAGGGAAAACGTCAACTAAGAGCTAACCAAAAATTCTCCATCAGAACTTCTCTAATATCTAAAGAAGTTTTTGAAACTGAAAGCTTTAGCAAACAACTTTGCAAAGTTTTAAAAAGAAAACATTGGAATATTTGCTAGCTAAAAAGAAAGCTGAGGGGTTTTTGGATCTGAAACTCAAAACACTTGGAAGAATTTTTTTAATGAAAACCAAATTAAAACCATTTTTAGTTGACATTTCAATAATAAAGGATATCATGCTTCAGCCATTCTTATTGTACAGATGTTCATAAACAGTGAAATTTTGATCTCATTCAGCTTGATGAGAGCTTACCACTGACTTCTTAGAGCCAAGACTTCATCCAAAAACCTCTGTTCACAGATAAAAGTAACTGCTTGCTGGTATATTTCTGCAGTTTTTCTTTTAATTAAGAAAAGATGTATTTTTAGAAATATAACAAAAGAACTTATGCCAAGATTAATCTCACAAAATAACACATAATTCTAAGATGTTGGTGAATTACAGAGTTTGGGAGAGGTAGTTATTTTGCATTCCAACATGTGTTTCTGTACTGACATGGAGATAGGGCAACTGACAGATTCTTAATCATCCATTTCTTGTGCACTCAAAACAGTTCACAGTTACCTTAATGAGATCTCAGGACAGATCACAGCTTCCAAACTTGCCAGATGATAGACTCTTAGTCCCAATTCAGGTGCCTCTGTTGGAACTTGCCCTGTCAAAGCTGTCAGCAGCTTTCATCTGAATGGCGCCGCTGCATTCCCACAAAGGTGTTAACGACCAGAAGCATCTTTGGCTTCTGCTTCAGCCCTGCAGTAATACATTTTGTTAACTGTAGAGTACAAGTGAACATACTCTGTCGTCTGAATTTAAAAGTGATCAGGAGACAAATTGTACAGTCATTTTCTTGCTAGTGTCTGATTGTAGGGGTTCACTGTTGATTTTGTTTTGCAGCTGGAAGCTTTTCAACCTTTCTTCATTTTCCTGAACCTTCCATACTCTGTCATCAGAGGAGAGCAGTTCATTTTGGAAGTGAACATCTTTAATTATTTGAAAGAAGAAGCTGAGGTAAAACAACTGTCTTTGTACTTGAATGTTACTAGACACTGCAGGTTTTCATCACCAGTGGAGACCACATCTTTCTCTTGTGAGAACTTTAATATTTTCTTCAGTGGACGGACCGTAACGCTATTTCTCTATACAAAAAAAAAGTGGCAGCATATGAAAGCAGTTTTTCAAAATTAACATTTTGTATTGCAAATGTTACTGTATTTACAGGTTACTGTGATCCTGGATGTGAATGATGCTTTTGAAATTATTCTAACATCCAATGAAATAAATGCTACAGAAAATCAACAGTCTATATCTGTACCAAGTGAAGATGGGAAAACTGTTCAATTCCCAATCAAGCCGAAACAGCTGGGAGAGATTCCCATCAAAGTGACAGCAATATCATCTGCTGCTTCTGATGCTATCATGCAGAAAGTTTTAGTAAAGGTAAACAGTCTGCAGCTTGGCTTGTTCTTGAAATAAATTGTTCCCTAAAATAGACAACAGAGTGCAGCAAAAAGGCAAACTAATTTACTTGTCTGCCTCTTGCTCTGTAAGGTTGGTTTTGGGTCAGGTGGCTTTAGGTAGAAAACACTTCTTTTAAAATAATTTCTCCTTTAAAATTCTTTAGCTCCCCTTCCAGGAATGAACATGTAGATCTGTTCTACAACAGATAGTGTGTCAAATGCTTCCAAAAGCAAGGTGAAAGCTATTTGTGCATCAGTGAACCCCTGGTGCTACAGCTACCTTAATAATCTGTGGAGAGTGGACCAAATAGCTGTGTTATGGATAAGTGCAATCAATTTTGCCATACACCTGACTTTAGTTCAAAGCCTATTTTATATGAACATTTCTGTATTTTGCTAGTGGTGGAAATTTAGCTCCCAGACTTTCTGATAAACCAGAAACTGATAAGACATGCCTAACTTTGGACATCTAAGTCTGATTCACGTAAGGCTCCATTTCAGTGGAAGGTGGTAGACATTTGTTACTCTCATCCTAAAATAAATGCTTAAGATCATAGGATTGGAGAATGGTTGAGGTTGGAAGGGAGTAGTCCAACCTTCCTGCTCAGAGCAGGATCGACTACAGCAGGATGCTCAGAACCATGTACAGTCAGGTTTTTAATATCCCCAAGGACAGGGACTTCACAGCCTCTCCAGGCAGTTTATTCCAGTGTTTGAACACCCTCACAGTTAAAAAAGTATTTTTTTATGTTTAAAAGGAAATCCCTTTATTTCAATTTGTGTGCATTGCGTCCTATTCTGCTGTTGGACACCACTGAGAAGAGCCTAGCTCCAACTTCTTTACACATTTCAGGTATTTATACACATTGTTGAGATCCCCCTGAGCCTTCTCTTCTCCAGGCTGAACAGGGCCAGCTCTCTCAGTCTCTCCTTAGACTGCTTAAAACCACTATCCTGCATAAAAGCCTGTTAGACTAAGGCGTAAGCTGAGGAAAGAAACCCATTTTTTTTCTCTGCTTCAAGGGCAATTTTTCTCAAGGGATTTTGCATGCATGGGGAAACAAAACCTTTATGGTCATGTACCTAACTTCAGTTCAAGTCCTCCTTGTATAACAGGCTGTAGGATTGCAGACAGCAGAAAAGGTACCACCTCCGGTCTTGGCATTTTCTTGGCTGTGGAGCTCCGTGCTTGGCATGGAGCTCACTGGAATCAGAGATGCTCTTACTGACTTTGTGGGTGTAATTTGTAATCGACACGTGGTCTCGAGAAGCAAATAGTGGAGGTAGGTCTTTATAAGAAAAACATTTCTGTGTCTGTTTAGACAGGCCAATAGCTCAGGTTCTTGGTGTGTTAGCAAGCAGCACAAAATACCTGACAGTGTTTTAGATCCCTCAGTACAGTAAGCATACACATCCTGTCCTAAAAGCAACAGTGTTGGAGATTATAATAATCCTGTCTTTATTTTGACAGGCTGAAGGATTGGAACAGACATATTCTCAGACAGTCCTTTTGGATTTGACTGGGAATAAACCACAAGCAGTGTCAAAAACTTTGGGTTTCACTTTTCCTTCTGATGTTGTAAGTGGCAGTGAGAGAGTGCAGGTCGCTGCTATTGGTAAGGATTATCTTATTCTGTTTCCGTCTTTATTATTTACTGGTCAGATGTATTTTTTTTAAAAATAGTTTTATGCCTGCTGGGCTTTTGTTGAACTCAGTATCTAAGATCTATGTGTCCATGATGTAGCTCCTGGCATCTTCGGCACTGCAGGCATAAGTGGTTTTTGAAGAACAGAGCAGTTGCCGGTAGTAACTAGAAGTAGTAAACTCTGTCAAGTAGAGCAGGGAGGCTGGTGTGTAATAACCTGAGCTACCCTAGCAGGATTTTCCAGAGCTTCTCTCAGAGCCCCTGCTGAAGGACCCTTATAAGATTTTGCCCAGTATGGCTATTGCTTTATAGGTTTTTAGGGAACTGCATTAATTTTTATTTAATTGCTATATTAATAGGATGAATAATTAATTCAAAATAATTTACCATCATGCATTAGACTAAGCATAGGAAGTCCTTATGGGTGGAGTGTGTTATTCCTTTAATTTATTTATTTTACGATATTATGGTATTGACTATCCATTTTCAGAGTTATAGAGGGAGTCGCATTTTAATAAGGAAGGTCCTGCAAAGTTTGCTAGTATCCTGTTTTAATTCTGCTTGTCTGCAGAATAAAACCTAAAACCTGGCTGTTGTTTCTTGTGACACCTAGGCTTTGATAACTGTGGGTGAGAGAAGAAATACAGGAAGTTTCAAATATGTACCATTACTGAAACATTTTCCTGGATTAAATATCTTTTGCATCTTTTTTTTTTTTTTTAATGGTGGCTGTTTGAAATTACTCTGTAGTTGGAAAGGTCTGTGGGGAGACAGGTCAGTGGGCACAAAGTTGATCAGAAGATGAAGTCTCTTTTCTGCCTGGTTAGTGGTGTTTAGTACAAATGTTCCTAATGTATCGTATTTTCTCCCAGTTTAGATGATACCACCCTTTATGTGTGAGGTATGCTTTTATTTGCAATAAGCTTTAATCTATTTTCATTAAATTTTATCTTTCAGGTGATTTACTTGGGCCTTCTATCAATGGCTTGTCATCATTGATTAAGATGCCTTACGGCTGTGGTGAACAGAATATGATCAATTTTGCTCCAAATGTTTATGTTTTGCAATACCTGACTAAAACCAGGCAGCTGAGAGAGGATATTAAATCAAAAGCTGTATCATTTATGAGAAAAGGTCTGTATGCTTAAAAGAAAGATGTTAGAGTTTTAAGAACTCTTACTAGTAAAAACATATCTGTGATTGTGCATTTGGTATTTGAAATACTGCTCTGTTGGTGTCAGGAGAACTGGAAGAAAGGCCTATCTTCTCTTTCTTTTCCTCTTTCTTCTGGGCTGACAGAATTGAAGAGCAAATGATTTTGTTTACAAGGGCAAGTTTTCTCAGAACAAACATGTTTTTATGTAGTTACTTTTTTCTCAGATGAAAAATGCATTTTAGAAGGTAATTCATATAGATTTCTTAGGTGGTTGTTACTTACCCTTTGATAAAACCATGTGTGAGCGAACATTTCTGACCTTTGCTTGAGGCACAGAGGTTGAAAGTTAGTCAGTGGGCAGAGTGAACCATATTCATCCCACGTGTGTATCTGTCTTCAGTGACACCATCCCTATCCTGCCATGTCCTTGTAGAGCTCAAGGAGTGGTGTTTGCTCTGGTGGCTGGCTTTTGCCCACCCAAGTTTTAGACTTGGTCAGAAGTGAACTCTGTGCTGGAAAATTGTAGCTGGAAATTGTTGTATATTTTAATTGGGAAATACTCCAGGGCATCACAAAGTGTGGAGAACATAGTTGCACCATGCTTCTCTGTGCGTTTTGGATCAGACAGTGTCTAACTGTGATGTACCATGCTTGCCACATGTCACTCTGCATGCTGAGAGCCTGGTTCACAGAGAGGAATGAGACCATCCTCATGTGAGCTACACCCCTACTAAGGCACCATGATGACCTTTTCAGATTTTGTTTACTCTCTGTAAGTCTTTGATTTTTTTTTTTGTGTTTGTTTTTTTTATAAGTTGTTGACATTTCACTTGGAAAAGACACAGCTCAAAATAAATTTTTCTTTCATCAAGATCCCAATTTTCTGTCAAAAGCAGTTAAATGATTTTTTAAACCCTTCCTACTACACAGTTTAGTTGAAAAGTAAGGTGGGGGGGAAGAGATGTGTTATGTAAACAGCTACTCCAAAGTTTGTAAGCAATCTTCCACTCTTTGAAGCCTGAGTTTTGCTACCATAATTTTCTGAAGTTTTCCAGTAACAGATTGTCGCAGTTTAACCTCAGTCGGCAACTGAGCACCACACAGCCGCTCGCTCACTCCTCCCACCCCCTGGTGGAATGGGGGAGAGAATCGGAAGTTTTTTGTAAAAGTGAGAAAACTCGTGGGTTGAGATAAAAACAGTTTAATAATTGAAATAGAATAAAATAATAATAATAATAATGTACAAAGCAAGTGATGCACAGTGCAGTTGCTCACCACCTGCTGACCGATGCCCAGCCAGTCCCCGAGCAGCGGCCCCTGGCCAGATTTCCCCCAGTTTATGTACTGAACATGACGTCATACAGTATGGAATATCCCTTTGGTCAGTTTGGGTCAGCTGTCCTGGCTGTGCCCCCTCCCAGCTTCTTGTGCACCTCCAGCCTTCTCAGTCGGTAGAGCATGGGAAGCTGAAAAGTCCTTGACTAGTGTAAACACTACCTAGCAACAACTAAAACATCGGTGTGTTATCAACTTTGTGCTCATCCTAAATCCAAAACACAGCACTGTACCAGCTACTAGGAAGAAAATTAACTCTATCCCAGCTGAAAGCAGGACACAGATTTATTAAATATATTTCAAAGCAAGTGAAAATTATAGGATTAAATGTCACTTTTACACAAAGCGTTGAGTTACTTAACTTGTTCCTGGGGCTTTGAATTTAGGTACGTGTTTTTAACACTGTAGTAGCCAAAACAGTAAGTATGCTGAAATATTTGTAACCTTAAGGTAGAAAAGAATCACAATCTAAAAAAATTCTGTTTTTTTGCTTTATTTTAAAAATTAATTGATTTCAGTTGTTGCACTGATTTTTTAAAAATGTAATCTTAAAGTTGAAATTTATCTTTAGTTTGAGATGTAACTTTTATAAGCTCAGTTTTTGAAAGGATTGTCATGAAGTTTAATTTAAAACAGACTTTATTTCGCATATCAGAATTCACTAAATATTTGAAAAAGTGACCTCATAATCTGAAGTAAATATAATTAATTATAAGACTAAATGCTTGTGAGAAAAAGCGATCATATCGCTAGCAAAGACTGCTATATGATCTTTCTTTTAGCAGTTTTTATTTACCTAGAACAAAGGCAAAGTAAAAGAAAAGTTGCCTTTTAAAAAAATTCCTTCAGTTGTGGGAATGACAGATCCCATCTTGAAATCACTTCTTCAGAAAAAAAAAAATCCTGGTTGGTCTGAAAACTTTGGTGCGAGACCCAAAGCAAGCAACGAGTTCGAGCAGTATTTCCAAGCTGTTTGAAATGTGAGACCCTTTAGTCTTTCACATATTTCTGAAGTCCTTCCCATCCTGATGCACTCTTCTTTCAGCCTTGCTCAGCGAGCCTCCTACATCTCTTGGGTTCCAGCCAGTCCTCTGGGAGTACTAGTGTACATCTTCATAATAGGATCCTTCTTTTCCTTCCCTTTCCACTTGTATGTGTTGACATTTGAAGTATCGTTTTTCGTGTCTGATTGAGTGTCCGTTGGAACAAACACGGTGGTTCACAGCCCTCAGGTCTCCTGTTCCAGCATTTCTGCAGGCTTCCCCGTGTTAGATACGCTCACGTTTGGAGACTTTAGCGTGACTGCAACGGAGTTGGCGTTGAGAAGAAAGGAAGCAAACTGTAGGAAATAGCTGAGTGATAGCTCCATCCTCCCTCTGGTTCTGCTCATCTTTCTGATCCCTCCCAAGCTTAACAAATTCTGAGATAAATTTATGCCTGTGTAAGGCCTGCTCAGCAGTCTTTGTTAAGCAGGCTGTTGGTCTTAGTTCAGTGCTTTTACACTTCCAGCGGGGTGGTGATTATAATACTTATTGCTGTATATTGCCTGTTCTGCAAAGAAGCAGAAGACCTCAGTTTTCAGGCCTTGCAGTCAGATACTTTTGAAGAGGAAGCAATCTATTTGTATATATACATATATTCATGTTCCTCATAGCACATTATTTTGAGGCTTAAACTTTGACAGTGACTTTTGCTTTCCTTGGTGAAAAATGCAACTCATTCCTTCTTTTTTCACCAGTTTTAATCACGTAATTAACCACTGTTGTTGTGCTAAATACATTATAAACACCCTATATTTAAGTGGAAATTGCAATCTCAAACTCTTCTAAAGAGACAAAAACTAAACATGATGTTACTGGGGTAAGAGTTTATATGGGAGGGTGCACTGGTACACTGTAGCAGTTCAGATTCACATCTTTATCTCTCTTCTATTATAGAGAGACCCTGACTAGGATTTCATCTTACACTGTAACTTAGATTGAGGGACCAGGCCATTTGTTCCTCAGTTATTAACACTGACTGTGTATCTATATTCAGGATAGTGTGTAAGCGTGTGATTAATCCTTTATCGGTGAAAGCAAGGAACATTTTGCAGGGGAACAGTTGTAGTTGGATGGACCTCACAGGATGTATTTGTAAATTCATTTATTTGTGTAGGACTTAATGATGGTTGACTGAGGGTTTTCCTTCTGCCTGGCTGATTCAGTATTGTGTCTGTATCTGTCAGGTGTTAGACTAATGAATATACTTTCTTAATTATAATAGCCAAAATAGTAAAGCCAAGGAAAAAGACAAGGTGGGGGAAAGAAGAAAAGATGTCTTGTGAAATGCTATAAATAGTTACGGTTATTGTTCTGGATACACAAATGGCAAGCAAAATGAAAGGGAAGGAAGGCTTTAGATATCAAAAACTACAGTGAGTAGCATACCATAGGAAGCTCTTCATTTCCAACATTAACGAACATTGGTTCTGCACTGGTCAGCTATTGAGTAAGGATGCTGCTGGTGGTCGTGAGCAGCTAGTGAGCCCTCGGGGCCCTTTTATTACAGATGTTCAGCAGTCAGGAGAAAGCTGCACTTGTTCTGGATACTGAAGAATCTTCAAATACCTTTTAAATGGATCCTTCTCAGGATTTCAGGGTCTTCAGGTCTTTTGAAATTTTTCACTCATTTCAGAACAGCCTCTTCCAGCATGCTTTTTCTGATAGCTAGTCCTTTGCTTTGGAAAAAGCAAGCTGCTGAAAGGGTCTGTTTTTCAGCAGCATTTGAAGCTTTGCTGTACTCTTGCCCTTCCAGTTGGAAAATACTTCATTTTTGCTTGTCCTTCCTTCTGCTGGAAAGATAGAGCGTTTCTGTAGGCACACATCTCCAGCTCCCCAAAGTGACGAAGCACTGAACTATAGCTGCTACTCTGCTCTGCACTCGCTGCTGTGCTCCTGGAGCCACTGAGTTATATGGGAGCATGTCTCTCCGCACCGCGCTGTCATGTTTGGGTGGCAGATGAGTGGGAGCAGGAGCTTCTCCTTCTGCTTTTGTATATGGATCCTTCGTGTTACTGCTGCCTGCTTTCTCATCATCTTCTGTGCGGTTTTGTGTGTTCCTACATTTTTAGGAGATTCTTTATGAAATACGAGCCCAAGTTCTGCCCTTCTCAGCCTTAGAAAGTGCCTCGCTTCACATCAGCAGACAGTTTGTGCTGGAACCCGCATGAGAGGAAAGTGTTCAATACCTGTCTCTGCTTTTCCAATTCAGGCTACCAGAGAGAGCTGCTTTTCCAGAGGGATGATGGCTCTTTTAGTGCCTTTGGAAATGAAGATCCCTCTGGGAGCACATGGTAAGTAGTTCTGCCAGATTCACTGTGGAATTTGAGTATTTTAGATATTTTCCCTGCGACTAAAAATTTTTTGTGAAGCTGGTAAAAATTTCCAGCCATATTAGCCTTCTGCCTGGTTTTCATTAGGTGTTTAGGCCAACTCTAAGGTCATTCTGCTGGATAACATGCTGTCAAAACCATTATTAGGGCAAGGCTTTTTAATTTTGCAAAAGATGAATGATGAATTATTTTAGTCAGGGGAATAGCTTGGTCTGAAAGTTTTTCTGTTGCTTTCCTCAAAGGAATGAAGAATCATAATTAAATGACTTATTCTTGCAGTTGACTGAAACCATTTAGGGCTATGTGAATATCATTGCTTCAAACAGATTTTCAGTTCTCTCCATACTGGAGGCAGAAGACTGACTGAGGCATTTCCTAAGGGGTGAACAGAGTTACTGGTGATAAAAATTTGCCCTACTTACCTCTCTTACACCTCCTTTTTTTGAGACTGTAAATACAGCTGAAAAAGCCTTTTCAGTGCTGAATTCACTCTAAGAAGCATAGTGACCATAGTAGTGGAGGCTAGATAGATAACAGAGACAAGTTCCAGCACTTTGTTCAGCTAATCCATGTTCAGTTAGTTTAAATATACTTACGTATTTCAGTACATGCTGCTGACTTTAAATAGAACCATCCCAGTTACTGTGCCACTGATTGAGTCACTCCTTCTGGAGTCAGTGAGCATCTTTCATTGACATCGGCAGGATTTGCCTTAGACTCAGTATTGATGGATTGGAAAATGAAGATAATTTATCTATACTGGCAACTCTGGTACTTAAATAGTGCAGTGACAGGTTACATGAATGCATGTTTGGCAAAGAAGGGAATCAAAGCAGAACTCGGGATTATTAATGAATAAAACAACAAGGGTTGTTTCAATGATATAATTACAGGGATAATCATGATAATTGACGTCACACTCATAACTGCATTACTTCGTAAACTATGATTTTTGCCACTTTAGCCTAGCAGCAGAAGGCAGGAGAGCAACATTTGAATAAAGATAAACGTGCTGGCAGAATTGGAGTCCATACTCTGTATTTATTTTTGAAACATAATAGCTGCAAAAGGGATGATCTTTAGGAACAAGGACATAGCTTCATTTTTTGGTGGATTAAGCTTAGTCTACTTGCTTGTCTGGGTGAAGCATGTATTTTCCTCTGTGCTTGGGAGGTGTGTGTAGAACACCTTATGCATCACAGTATTCTTACATCATCTTAAACAGAAGAAGCTGTAATACGTTGCTAATTTTGTCATATTTGATTAACCTTTTCCCCAAGGTTATCAGCTTTTGTATTAAGATGTTTCCTTCAAGCTCGTCCATTCATAGATATTGATCAAGATGTACTCATGGATACAGCTAAATGGATTGTCCGGCATCAGAAATTAAATGGAGAATTTCATGAGCCTGGGAAAGTGTTACATAGTGATCTTCAAGGAGGCACCAATAATCCAGTCGCTCTCACAGCTTACATCATGTCATCCCTCCTAGGGTCCCCAGATAAACAGGTATTGGAATTCACAAATAGAATTCGTAGTTACTGGAACACTTCATAAATTGTCATACTACCTGGTATGTATGACATATACATAAACACTTGGTAGTTTAAGGAAATAGAGGGACATCTGAACACAGACAAAATTTAACCTGATTTTGTTAAACTTCCCTGTACTTTGGCTTATCTACCTGAGACAATACAAAGCTGTGTTGTTAGGCCCTTCAATTTTAAGTGGCTTTGCAAAATCTAAAGGCAGTTGCTTTTAGCAAGCATACTGTCGTGGCTTTAGTCCAAGAACTTGCAAAGAAATTTATGGGGGGAACGATCCTTAGAGATGTTAAGTCATTCCAATTGATTTCATTGAGATTGCTCACGTTCATAAAAGACAGTGCCAGATCAAAAGGTTTGCCTTTGAGGTTCATGCCTGTCACTCTGAAAGAGATTTTCAGTATTTCTTGGTTGTTGTTTGGTGATAGTAATGTTTCTGTTTCTGTACAAATTTTTCTTTTAAATTATAATATTTCAATGTATATTTTATTCACTGTACATTCTTCAGTATGATCTTCATTTCCAGCATGCTTATGTCATCAAGAGTGCTACAAACTTTCTAGAAGGTAAATTAGAAGAAGGCATTTCGGATAATTACACTTTGGCACTTGTGACATATGCGTTGTCTTCGGCGAAAAGTACAAAAGCAAAGGAAGCACTGAATATACTGAACCAGAGGGCAGAACACCAAGGTATTGCGCAACTATCTTACACAGTTGTATAGATGGATTTTTGTTGAATTTAAGAATACCTATCATATATCTACAGCTGCATATAGAATTAGAGATGAAGAGAATCCTTCTTCTGAATTCAAATCTGTGTTGAGTATGATATAGAGAATAAACTAAGAACTTCCAAGACAGCCTTAATGAAAAGTGTCCATAAATGAATGACAGTTGGGCCGAGGCCAACTGTATGAGATTCAACAAGGCCAAGTGCCAGGTCCTGCACTTCGGCCATTGGACATGAGGAAAAATATCTTTACTGAAAGAGTGGTTAAACATTGGAAGAGGCTGCCCAGGGGGGGGGGTGAGTCACCATCCCTGGAAGTATTTAAAAGACGTGTAGATGAGGCGCTTAGGGACATGGTTTAGTGGGCATGGTGTTGTTGGGTTGACGGTTGGACTCGATGATCTTGGAGGTCTCTTCCAACCTTAATGATTCTATGATTCTATGATTCTATGACAATTCACGACAAAGCTAGGCCTTTCAGTCTCAATTACTGTGTTCCTAATGGGAGTACCATGGCGCTGTTGAAGAACATTACTTGTCAGTTTTTCCATGTTATTATGTGCACTTGTAAGATCAGCCTGGTTAAAGAGAGATGGATAGGGTTAGCTATTCCAAAGTAGTTTGGATAGATCAGGAAGGTGTGGGGGGGCAATTAGTTAAAATCAGTATCGGAGTGAAGAGTTGAAGGATTGGACTTTCTGTAAGACAATACAGAGGTGTGTTGCATTTTCTGTAGGGACCCATCATCTCATCACGTTTAACCTCTTCCCAGTTCAGCACAACCGAATTTTGTTCCCTGTTTTGGGGGAAGAGCAGACTATATGGAGTATAACGAATGGAAGTTTTTGGTTCAAAATAGTAACTGTCCTCTTGAAAAATCCAAAGGAATTCATGTTCTAGCCTAGAAATGGAGCCTTTTGGGTGTTCCTCTATGTTTACTGAGTTAGGCCTTTTGGACAGTCACTTTTGAGAAGGGAGGAAGTCACTTTTTTGGAAGACTTCACTTAAGAATGAGCCTCGTGAGCAGCCATGCTGCCTGAGGTGCCTTCTCTAGTCCCTAAGAGAAAGGAGCACCCCAGCAACAAGGTGGCCTTTTCACAAGGGCTCCTTTACATGAGCACTTCAGGCTGGCAACAAAAGGATCAATGTAAAGTTCACTGAAATCAATGGGAGTGACTATTTGGACTCCAGCTTTTTTTGTATCTAGATTCACCATGGCTGAGGAAGTGCTTAAGTCAGTCCTTTGTGGGACATATGCCTAAACATTAACACAGTTTTAAAGAACCTTGCTCGATCCCATATGTAAGAGTTAATTATTTCCCTTAAGTCTTTCCCAGAAGTCCAAAGACTTCAGTCTGTGGATCTGAGGTTATTATTGGTTCCTTTTGCAGGAGAATTTCGCTTCTGGATAACACCCGCTTCGGAAATTTCTGATTCATGGCAGCCACGGTCCATCGATATTGAACTTGCAGCATATGCTCTGCTCTCGCACTTTCATCAAGACAGATTAGCAAAAGGGATCCCTATTATGAAATGGTTAAGTCAGCAAAGAAATCACCTTGGGGGATTTTCATCTACTCAGGTAATCTCTTGTCTCAAGGGGCTTTGTTATACTTTCTAAATGAGCACTGTATATTAAAAAAGAAAAAGAAAAAGAAAAAAGGGACCATTTGGTTTTTTACATAACAATTACTGAATTTTGTTTTGCTGTAACAGCCTTGGTTACGTGCAGGCTTGCATTCTGTGCGATATTGGCATCTTGAACCTGGACCACCAGTTTTAGTATTTTGGCAAGTACAATAAAAAACAGAATTAGAGGGTCACCTTGATTATATAAAATATTAATAACAAAAGATCTTAAATTAAGAAGAAGTGATGCCCATGGAAAAATAATTAATCAGATTTTCCAAGCAAGTGTGATAAATATCTGTGCTTACTTTCTTTCCAAGGAGATAAACCTCTTTCTATTCTTTCCATATGTGGGTCCTCAAACTCCTGAAAGGCTATTAACTAAGATAAGAAAGGGGAGTAGGTTTTAGAGAAACAGCCTAACCTACTGACTCTGCTGGCAGTTGGTCTTAACTTAATAATGTACTTTGTCCTCATTATTACGTAGATTTTTGATGGGCCATGAAATTTGGAAGCTCTACATTATCTCCAGGAGGTTTCCATGTTATTGAAACCACATCTTGTAAGCTGTGCTGGCATGCAGAAAATTTATATAGTATTTTGGATTGCATTAGTTTAAACTAGCTCTTAAATTAACTACAAATGCTGGTCACAGTAAAATGCCACATTTCTTAATACTGCTTGGTACCAAGCTGTACAGGCGTCATTATTTTCAAATGTTTGTTGGTATGAATCTGAGAGAAACTAGTTCTACTAAATAAAATGCAATTTAACAACCAGCTTGGTTTCCCTGAGGTTCTAGTATTTTTCTAATGTGTTAATTCTTGCGTATTATTTGAAGAGGCTGATTGAAGCACTAAATGAGTTGAAAAAGCTTTTCTCTATTCTCCAGAAACTATTTTTACTTGAAAGTTTGAAAATCCAGCATTTACCCCTGAGGGTGAAGTTAAGAAATGAATTTAATCCTTTTGTTCTTCCATAGTCTAAACTATTTTGATTTCAAAATTACTCCAATGTCTCTCTGGATGCCTTTTTTAATTTGTGGAAATGACCCCATACTTTCTGTTAACTTCTAAGATTGCTTTAAAAAAATGTTTGGAGTGTTTCCTTCCATGAGTTTATTACATTAGAAACTTAATATATTGTTTAACAATAAGGGAGAAAGTAATCAGTTGCATGTGTGATGTTTTGTAAGTTAGGGTATGATAACTCACTGCAATTTGTATACATGGTATAGCATACTATGAATTTGCAATCAGTATATTTTGCTTTATAATGCTTTTAATGTTTGAACATAAAATGTACATATAACATATACACGGGAAAACAATCCATACAAAAAATAGCATATATATGAATGTAGATTTAAATGGTAGGGAAGAGCAGCAAATTCTGCAAAGACTGTGTTGCTGGGCAAGAGAGGCCTATGAGTCTGGTTTGAGACCGTATTCCCTAACTTTTCAGGTTGTGTATTGGACACAGCATTGTCATACTGAGCTGTGCACCTTGTGCTTCAGCTGTGAATGTTTCCTGGTGAAAAGCCTTGGGTATGCCTTCTGCTTTAGAGCATGCCAAGGGGCACGTTTATCTTCTCTCTAGGTAGTTCTTTGTCCTCTTGTTTTTCACCTGTGTTTCTGAGAGTCATTTAAGCCTAGGATGTGGAAGAGCTCTGAAGTCACCTTCAGCAATGGCAGATAGCATTTCTAGACATCTTGAACTTTCTATCAATTCAGGGTGAGAAATGTAAATGTGAGAGATGTAATTGTGAGGACTTGGAAAAGGCGCTTCAAGGTGTTCCTTGGTTTCCACAACTTAGGTAAGGGCAGGCATGTTTCTGCTTTCAGATGTTTAAAATCAGATTCTTCAACAAGATCTTATAGCTCCTTAGGTCTATAAGATAGATCAGATATATAGATGTGGTAGGTCACTGTAGTTTCATTCACTTCAGTGTGAAAGAAGTTTTGTAAGTTTGGGCTTCCAAGCTATAGATCTTCATCAGAAACTGATACATGAGTAGTCTGAGTAAGGGCAGTCATTCAGATGCTTTGTCACTGTCTTCTGCAAAGGAGTAATCGAAGACATTCTTTCAGGGTAAATATTGGCCTCCTACTGAAAAAGTCTGCCACTTACTCCAGACTATTAAATCTTTCTGTAGCCCATTAGTTGCATCTATTTTGTCACACCATGTT